CAGCGACATCAACTACGGCCATACGAAAGTCACTGCATGAAGCAGGCGTGCATTCAAACCTTCCTCTATATCTAACTCAAAATTCATTGCCTGGCGTCGCTTGAGATGACTGTTGGGGTAAACTACCCTTTGCTCGTTGTAATGCTTGATCCACTTATGCTTTCTAATCCACTTATGTCACCAGAATATAATGGTCCAGGAAGCCTTCTAGATACTTTAGCCCTTTCTTTTTCTTGATAGTTTTTAGTTGTTATTTTTATTGTTAGTTACGTCTTCGCTCTCTTGTTTCACATTTAATTTTTGCATAGTGCAATGTGAGGAGTGGGTCAGAAGATCCGGGTAGGGGCGACGCGGCGCAAGCGGCATTGTACGCACAGCAACCGTTTGGAGTGTGCAATATATCCTATCAAATTCGCATCCGTCCACTCTTGAAAAACTGTGACAGCGAAGAGTTTCCTGGAATTTTTCTCCCTGTCTCCCTTTCTTTCATTTTTCTTCTTCTCGAAGATCATATTACTTAGATACTTAGATACTTAGACGACCCGTCCATCAGCACGGCGGTTGGCCTTGCGCGGGTCCCAACTTCTTTTCCATTGATCTCGATCTTGGGCTATGGTTGTCCAGTGTGTGGTCACCCTAAAGGACTCTGGATCATAGATGTTGTTTCGATGAGCTAGGGAATCCGCCCATCGTAAAGGAGGACGGCCTTGCGGCCGTTTCTTCTCGCGCGGGTACATTTCAAACGAAAATCATATTGGTCTCTATTATCTTTTGAACGTTGTATTTGATCAATTGTAATTACACATTCATTATGGCGCGCTTTTTTCACTTTCCACTTGGGACGAGCGCGATTTTGTGAGCGCCGCCGCCTCACCTTCCCATCCGCGGATTTTGTATTGTAAATGAACAAAACCGCGAATGTCACAGAATAATTTCAGTACTATACAATGTGTTAGGGTTATCTAAGCATATTGTGGTGAGATTGCTAACAAAACGACGAACTGTGTTAATGAAAAAGCAACATTCAACTTGACTTTCCCGCACTGAACTGAAAGCATTTCTAGGAACAAGGATGGGAGGCTGAAATTGTCTAACATGAGACCTGTTGGAAAGTGAGTCCCATGAAGGCGAATGACAGCATTGCGAACGCGGCATTGATCCGACGTTTTCTGTGAAAGGTTACCATATCTCAAATTTCAAAATGGAGAAGGAAGAGATTTGACCTTTTAATGACCTGCAAACTTCTCAGTGGTGTAACCACCCTGGCTGCCTCTAAATTTTTCACAGTCGTTCAGTAATACGTCGCTATAGTTTCCAGTTTTTAAGCGCTTTCATTAACACCTTGACGACAGCGCGGCAACTAGGTTTGCCGCGTTTTGCACGCCGCAATGGACATTGTGGCAACTATAGTTGCCACACCCTTTACATTCAGTTTTTTCTTGAACGCGCCATTTCTTCCCAGGTTTTTTGTGTTCATTTTTTAGGCCATACCACAACATAACCAAGAACCACGCGGCTTATAGAATGACCAAATATTCTTTAGTTTGGCAGAGGTTTTTCGGACCGGACGAAAATATCCGTTCAGTTCATTCCTCATTTTCTCTTCATTAACACGAACATGTAGATAAAAAAGAATATTAGAAGTGAGTACAAAGCTACTCGTGTGGCAAGATATGTGTTTTTACCGAAACAACCACGTCCAAAATAATTTTGAAATCACTAAAGCAAAAGTAAGTGAAACTTGCCTTTTCAATGCTGTAACACATCATTCGACCGCACTTTCACATGTGTACCTTCCAATAAGTTTGACACACCGAATATCAGTGAAAACATTTTGTCGCATCGAAGTATTGCGTATTTAAAGCTCAAAATCCACAGATTTGTTGTGAGGCGGCGGCGCTCGCAGAACCGCTCTGGTCCCACGCGGCCAAAAATGCCAAAACGCGCGATGTCGTCAACGTGTTAAAGGCACAACCAGGCAGAGGTCGTGTGAACGCTTCTCTTCGGTTTGTAGTATAGACCCTAGAGGACAATCACAAATGTGGCGTTCTCGTGCACGGAAACCAACCGATAAGAGCGCTTGGGCCTTGCAAAGTAAGCTGCCCAAGCTGCAGACTTTTTTCTCTTATCAGACTGTTGTCTGGCGATCTCTCATCTGTAGCGCTCTCTCGCCCCATACTCTCCTCTCCGCGCTTAGTCTCTCATTCCCTTAGCACAGCCGATTAGGAAGGTGAGTGAGCCCTTAACCTAAGCGTTTTTGACGGATTCTTTTCCTTTTTTCTTTACTGCCGGCCCACTTCCCACCAATACATTCGCATTCGTGTGCAAGAGCCACACCATGTGATCCTGGGGCATGCCTTTAAATTAAAGACTTGTTTAAATCAATCACAAATTTATCTGTTTTCTTTTGACTTGCTCGTTCCAAGGTTGTTTGTTTGTGCGTTTGATTATGCATGTTCTATTAATTACATGCTACATGCATGTCCCTTAATAAATAAATAACTGAACCCCTTTTGAATGCTGGGTCTCTCTTATTATCTTTTTTATTATGTTTACGTTTGGGATTTTGAATTCACGCTGAAAAAGAATAGAATTCGATGTAAGGTAGCACAATCTTTTCAATTCAACGCTTATTTGCTCCATAAATAGATTATATAGGGTACTATTACAATAAGGTACTGCTCCCGCGTTTCTGCTGTACCTCGCGCGGTGGCTACCCTTCACTACACCTGAGGGTAAATTCATCATTTTGATGGCTATTATCAGCAGAACGGAATTTTTCTTACAATTTCGTACAGCAGAACGCTCTATCACCTGTCACTCATTTTTCGATGATGGATGACCTTGGGACGGGAAGTTTTTGAAGTTCTGAATATACCTTGTTGATTCTAGAGTGTTGGTATCAGAAGGTACTGTAGCTATGAGCTGTTGGCTACCCTCCTTTTCAAAAACAAGAAGAGCGTCGGGCACAGACCGTACACCACAAGTGACGACGGCCTGCACAAAAAGCTAAAGTTTGAAGTTGAAAAAATCCGCGGAAACATACCAGTGTAGGTAACGACCATTCCAAAATTTTCCATTGAAGATTAAAAAATTCATCAATTAAGAGTTGGCAATCATGTCTCAGGATGCGCCATGCGTTTTATTTTGGGGCTTTTTACTCAAGTTGTTGCGAAGAACAAGAGATAGGCAATTTCAATCAATCAGAGCCAAACCTGATCGGTTTGTTCTTGACCGCATCCTTCAAGTTTGTCGCTTAGTTAGCCTTGTAGTGCCTTTTGCTCAATATTTCCGAGGATATTGTAGGATTTTCAAAATAGTGCAGTCCTCATTACTTCGCCAGAGGCAACACAAACAGCATTTCGCCTACAGCACGCTACCAATTCATCATTTGTTGGCAGATCCGCAAAAACGACAACATCACTGCGAACGACGCTTCGTCATAAGAACTCACTGAAGAATTACAGACCGGCAATCTCATGTACCTACGGCGATTTCTTTCATTTCACTGAGAAACACTTTGTCTCTTCATAGTATCATTTACTATGTGTTCCTAAAAGGCTACGATACCAACCACTTCATCGTCACCCACTTGTTCTTTCACTTACTCCAATGACAAGCTCCACAATATAGGGACCTCCTACCTGCTCTTCAGGAGAGCATACCTCCTCCACACTGCCTTCCGTTTCTGTTTTCACCACTTTTCACAGTTTTTCTTCCTCAACACAGGACGATGCTAGGAGTAACCCTATACACGCAAGTGCAGAGGGGAATCCGTGAGTCGAAGGTCAGGCGACGCTGCCGTTTTCGTCAAGCGCAATCGGAAGATAACGGTGAGGCCTGCGAGGCCGTCATACGTTTTTACGGTGGCTCATTGCCCGAACAGCAGCGGTTTTTACCGACTGGATCCCTCGGGACGTCAAACGAACACCTGGACGACCGCCGGCCCGATGGTCAGACTTCTTCACGAAAGCTCTGAACGAAAGGAATGATGGACTTCGTGTCCCTCGAGCAAGGAGGATCCACTGGACCACCCTAGCACGCGACAGGGACGAATGGAGACGTGTTGCCTTGGCGGCGGCCAACGCTCGCCCGCTTGAGCATCGACGATCAACGGGACGACAGGTGATACAGAAACACATCGCTACAGTGCGGTACACATAAGTCCCGCACTTCGCTTGGGAGAGGCTCGGTCTACTTAATTTTTGCCTCAAATGTCACCTTTCACAGTGTCCCTAGGCATTGTGAGCTGCAAAACACAATGCTCTTTTTGTTACTAGTTGAGCGGGTAGTCACTTATGATGAAAAGAGATAAGTAAGCGCGTAGGGAACGATGGTCGTCAGCGTATCAAAGCATCACGATGGGCAGAGGCAGTACGGTTTTAATGACGTAATTGAACATCATTGGTGGACTAGAATACTCAGCGCTTGCCTGGGGTGTGGGACCGACGTAAGCAAACCAGCCCTTTTGGCGCTTCGGCTGGGACCGTATGCTGAATGTTGGGGAGGGGATGGAGTCCCCGACGGTGGACGGACCACTTCAACTCGGTCCTTAGAACCGCCACAATTTGGTGCTTACCTCAGAACTAAGCCTTAAAGAGAGGACGGGTCCGTCCCCTCTCCAAGGCTTAGTCCTGGGGTGAGCAAACCAGCCCTTCTGGCGGAGCTGCTGGACCAGCTGCACCACTTGCGTCAGTACTCTCCTATCGTACCAACCGAGTTGAAGTAAACCGTCGACCGTTGGGGACCCCATCCCCTCCCCAACATTCAGCATACGGTCCCAGCCGAAACGCCAAAAGGGCTGGTTTGCTTACCTCGTCAGGACCTGTGGTTAGGACCGCACCCTGCTCTAGCTATTGTGACCTCATGTACTGCTCCCCTTCAAATTCCTCTGTAATCTGCTTCATGTTTCTCCCCACACTTCTTTAGCGCTTTACTTGGATCGTGAGTGCGACCTTTCTATGCGTCAACATGTTTTCGTTTCAACTCTAAGGAGAACTATGGTGTTGGTGAGAAGGTTCTCTGGCGCTCGTCGGAGACGTACCCAGGCGTACTGAAGCCGTTACCCTTTCCAGCCGGAGCCGATTCGCGAAAGACGGCAGGATGGGTGTCACAGCCTTTAGAGTTTTCTCAACAATATTCAACATGTAGTGGCGGCCAGCATTCGTTGCCGCATAATCTTAGGAATTATTCTGAAATCTCTGCTTATCTTTGTCGTTTGATTCTCTCTACACCCTGCAGTGGCTGACTAGGAACGTCATTTTTTAGAACAGTATTTAAAAAAGCGTCACGTTTTGTGTAAACCCTGCCGAGTCACCCAGCATTCCTCGTCGCATTGTCTTCATTTCTTCGAGCCAATTGTTCAAAGTTTAAGAAATCGGCAACCCTGAAGCAATGCTGTAGCGTAAAGCTGACTTTGAGATTGCATTAGCACTTTCAGCTGTTTCAGCTGCGTTTTGTTTTTCTACTCACTCTGTCACACCAATCAGAACTGATGCTGTGATGATAGCGCTTAGGTCAGGATGCGTAGAGCGCATAACAAAAATATGCAGTAAGTGCTTAGGTCCAGTTTTGGCATCTTCATAAATCTAAAAACTACAGCGGTGGGCAAAAATACGGTAAGCAAGATTTAATCCTACATTATTATTATAAATTGGCTAAGCGGCTGTGTGTGCCGCCACGTCACGTTGTCTGTGTGTGTGTGTGTATGTGTTTGTCTGTCTGACCGGAAATTCATAGCTCGGGCACCAGTGGTCGTCAGGAGTTGGTTTCAAGATATGATATAGGGGGTGGGACGGGAACATATTTGGTGGGGTAAAGAAAGTGATCACAACTGATAAGGGCTGATAAAAGGCGCTAGAACGCAAGTGTCGCGAAATTCATAGCTCGGGCACCAGTGGTCGTCAGGAGTTGGTTTCAAGATATGATATAGGGGGTGGGACGGGAACATATTTGGTGGGGTAAAGAAAGTGATCACAACTGATAAGGGCTGATAAAAGGCGCTAGAACGCAAGTGTCGCGAAATTCATAGCTCGGGCACCAGTGGTCGTCAGGAGTTGGTTTCAAGATATGATATAGGGGGTGGGACGGGAACATATTTGGTGGGGGTCACAAAGTGATAACGACTGATATGAGCAGATAGAGGCGCTGAAACACAATTTTCACAAAATTCATAGTGCGCTTCGCAGCAGTCGTCAGGAACTGATTTTGGGACATGATATGGGGGTTGGACGGTAACATATTTTGTGGGGGTCAAAAAGTGATAACGACAGATGAGGACTGATAATTACGATATGCGTACGAACGTAGAGATTACTCGAAACCAGATTGCAGATAATGCATTTCATTTCAATATCATTTCATTAGCGTTATAATTGTAAATTCAAACACCTTTCAACCGCTACACCTTCTAGAGTTCTTGAGGATGAATGGGATGCTCTAATAAATTTGATAGTGAATACTGGGCATTCCGTCTTGAGATTACCAAAAATTATTCGACCGCTAAATTTCCTCGATTCTCGATGCATGGTGGTTGTTTACATACATCACTTTAGCTGTGCACTTCACTGCGCTTATCAAACAGTGAGATACAGCCAAGATGGGCAACGGACAGTAATGCATTTAACGAAGCAGCTATAGTTAAGCGGTGAAACCCAAAGCTTCACCGATTGTCAGTTTTGTCAGAGGCTTCCGTGTCATGCGCGCGGTAGCGGGCGGAGCTAAACTGGTGATTATATAAAAAAACTGGATAGAATCGATCACTGAATCTATCAAATGAATCAGTGTCACTACCTGCGCGCTTATCTCGCTTAACAACTTCTTCCAGAAAAACGTTTCCCGTAATGAACGCAAATTTGGAAACTCACCCGTCGGGCAAACATGTTGTCACGAGTTTAGATCTATTTTTATTAAATGGAAACATGGCAATGACATTATACTCCTTGCGGAGAAGTAAAACAGTATAATAAACAAGTTAGTTCGAAAATCGAAGAGATAGAGCGCAACGAGAGGGGAGGGGAAACGATCAGAGGGGAAACGCGAGAGAGCATGAGGAGCATGAGAGGTTCAGACGCTCTTGCCGCGATTTATAAGGCACAGCAGGCCTTTTTAGCAGCTTGCTTGGCACTTTTGAGTGAGCGATTGGTCGCGACGGCGACCCCTGTTGCTCACTCTTTAGGAGGAACTGTTTCCGCTTGGCGCCTAATCCCGAATCTGAGCTTTGAAGGCACTTCAAGTGGTAATAACAGCCTTCACACGAACCTGACGTCTTCTTTCCATTAGGGTATTTGCGTCGTGCAACTATCTATTTTGTTTCATTCTTCCATACTCTGAAATCCCAGTGCTTCTGATTCTTAAATGTAATTTTCCTTTGCAGGAATCAGTGGGCGTTCATTCGTGGAACACCGAGCGTTCTGACTACGTCGCCCGGTCAGCGGAACCATGGCGTGACGTGGAAATGGCGAAACCGTCGTCGAGGGACACCAACGCGAAAGGCTCCACTCCACAGCACTTTTACCTCCCAAAGGATCACAATTCTAATTTCGAAGAACCATCATTGTTCGAGGGACCAAGCATGAATGGAATGCCTCGTACCCGGTCGCATTCACCACGCAAAGAGCGACGGCAACGTCCCGAAGAAAAAACTACCAGGTAATAGTTGGCGATTTGTAATTGGAGTGAGAGCTTTTGATAAGTTAGAAATTCTGAATTTCCAGAAGTTTCGAAAAAAAACGATTAAATTCTGATATTCAGCCGCTCCAAATCACCTCAAAAGCACCGCTCGATAACCAACTCATACGATTACCTCAACAGTCAGTGCCATCTCGAAGGATGCTCAGCCAGCATCGTCGTCAATGTGAGTACTTTGAGAGTTTCAAAGCACCCTCTTTCAATACCTCAGCTAAACCTCTTTCGCCCTTGAGCATTCCACTGCTTTTTATAAAATTATAAAATTATTGAATTTAATTAA